CGCTGTGAAAACCTCAAATCATACGATGAAGTTATTCATTGTGTAATAATCTTCATTGACATTAGTTCCTCTCTCTTAGATCCCAAATCTTCTTGTCAGCACTCAGCCCGAACACCCGCAGTCTGCGCTGTTCCCTCCAGGTATATCGTCGAATAATCACTCCGCGTAATTCCAGTTTTCCAAGACGTGACCTAACCTAACCGCTGATTAACCCCGGCGGCAGTCTCTTCCCCTCAAACTTCGAAAGTTCTGTGATGGTCCCAAGATCCCTGGGAAAATGTTACCATGAGGATGAGAGCACTTTAACTCACTGTTTTTACAGCTACTGTCATTGAAACATAATCTTTTATTTATGAGTAAAATTTTGTGCTTCACTCCCCTTTCCATATCGATCTTTTCTCCCTCTTCCACATGTGAATATTCCTTTTGGTGCAATATTTCGCGGCTGGCACTCTAACACTGCCGCATCACAAATTACATTACATTTTCTTTTTCCTGCAATCAGTTACCACTAGAGTTACTGAGTCAAAATGACAAGGCAGACCGCTTTCTCAGTCTGCGCTGACCTGGTAGAAACGAGGCGACTGACCCCTCCCCCCGCCGTGTCTGATCCATGGCTTTATTTCACTTACGCAACTGCAGAATGGCCTTTTATCACATTGATAAGGGGCTTATCCCCTCTTCACCGGCTATTTGGTAGAGATTTATCGGGATCTCCCACTGCCAAGAAAATGCCCATCAAGCGCTGTTGTTTTTAAATATCTAATATACGAGGTGCGTCCACAAAGTAAGTTTCCCACTCGTCCCACAGCTAGCAAACCTTATATTGCGCGAAGCGACTGTGCGTACGTGATAGAGCAATGACGTAGCATGGCGCATGCACTAACGGCACTTCCCGCGTTCTCACAGTAGCATCGTTGCAGCTGTTGAAGATGGAGATTCTTATTCCAGCTCCCGCCGACTGTGAAGTGCGGCCAGTGATAACGCTAGGCCGCACCACAGTGGTTCCAATCCCAGGCGGCAGACTTCTACGACACAGGTATTCAAAAGTTGGTCCCACGGAATGACAAATGTCTCAATTCCGGTGGCAAATGTGTTGAAAAATAGCTGGACACTTGCTGTATCTGTTGCAATAAATATTTCCATGAAATTGTGTTTTGTTTCTGTAAACGACCCCAGGGAAACTTACTTTGTGGACGAGCCTCGTATTATCTGAAAATTTCTTCTAAATGACATCCGAAATGTAAGTGTAAACCAGCACGCAGGCTTAAGAGCTGCGGGATGATAATACGATGTTATTGTTTTTATTTAGAACCGGTTAGAATCAGAACGCAACATTTTAGTCGACAAACCTGAAGGAAAAGTTAACTCGTGAGACCTAGAAGTAGATGGGGGATAGCACGGATTGTACGAAAATTAATGGTGGCGTTTTGTAAGTGGATTGGTACAAACAGACTCTCCTGTACATTGTGATACATTATATCTGGGTCGCTAACTCAAAAAGGTTGTTATACATGATACTGTTATTGATTTTATTAATCTCATAAAGTTTTGGTAACGTTGTTACTCAGATTCAGTATGTGAGCCATTTGCATCTCGGATGAGAATCCCCGGCGGTACGCCACTGTTTACAAAACTAAATGAGTATTTAATTAAGTCAGAATTTGTTTAAAGCTGGGTATTGTATTAGTAATGTTATTGCAAGGTCACGAAACGCCGTTTACTTCTGTAAACGCGGTATTACAAAGATTCTTATAGAACGCGTATGATGTGAAGGTGTGGAGAGGACACGTCTGTCCCAGGACGGGAACCGCTGACGGGTTCTTTCGTGAACACGGAAATTAATATTTTCGTTTCGTAAAAAGCGTGGAATTTCCTGACTAGCTAAGTTGGCTTCTGAAAAGGACATTCTGCAGTTCACAGTCTTTTGTCCGGTCCATATGAGGCAGCTTTTGTTACAGAGACGTATATTACGCCCCCACACGTGTTACAGTTTCCTTTTATTTGAAGAATTTCGGAAGAATCAAACGTAGGACCTCTATGGCGACCTACATTTGATTGGTTTAATAAGCACCGTGTACATTTTCACTAATGTTATAAATGCCCCTTAACTGCTAGTACGGTTCGCAATTTTACTTTGTAATTTTTCAACGCGAAAGGCATGGAATCTTCAGAGATACATCGAAACAGATAAAGAGAGGAAACAGTTGGATACATTTCACACATTAGTCAGGACGCCAGCCACACTTGACGGTCCCTTTCTCTCATCTCACCATAAGAAATTCCCTGGGAAAAAACCACCCGCTGTCAATACAATATGCCGTTCATCCTAATATCCGTAACGAAAACATTATCCTTTCGTGGCTCAGTCAAGCGTCTTGATACAGTTTCGAGTTCCCACAGGGGCAGTGATTTTCCTTTCCAGTGGGTGTCATGATTGTGGTCTGAACGGCCGTGGCTCGTCAGTTCCCGTCATGAGCAAGGATCTTTTTCTGTGCTATAATTTCCAGACCGAATCTGGCGCCCGCCAGTCTTAAGACGACTAAACGAACCTAAAATTTTGGGAAATTTGACTGTGAACGAGGAGTTAAAACGCTTATGAAGTACAAAATATTCGTGTCTTAGGCGGGATTTGAACATCAGGTTTGAACCGCGGTCCATTGGGGTCGGATTCAGTCCACGTTGGGCTCTACCTGAAGATATATAACTTGGACTCTGTGTTAAAATAGACCACGACGACTGCCTCACAATTCTTTCACAATGACCATCTTTTCCTTCGATTTTGTTTCTCTCTGCTTCTGGTTTCGTTGGTTCTGTCCTTCCTC